TAAAATATGTGCATACAGGATTTTGGTTGAGAACTGTAAATCAAATGTCTGTTTATTGATGTACATATTAATTACTGTATACAATACTGAGCTATTGTCGAACCTGACTCATTAAAAAGACACCAGACAATTAGAACGCTCATTTCAGTTTATTTTGTGCCGTCATCTTTTCTTTGTGTCCAACACTCAGCAGATTTCCTCCCAGACCACGAGTGGCCAAGTCCTAATAATGGGAGGCTCAGGAGGAGACATAAACACCTTCATGTAAACATATGGTTGATATTTTTGTGAATTAGCAATATGTGAAAGAGATTGCGCAACGACCATGGATTATCAAAGCCGTGTCACGGCGGGCCAGTAATGTTTTTGTGTATCACTTTTGAGTAAACAGTTGTAGTAGTACACTACAGTACTACCATACTGTTAGTCATTGCATTATCACACATAATAAACTTACTTGAACTGTTGCACCCCAGCAAGCTGGTCCTCTGTAGCTCAGAGCACGGCGCTTGTAACGCCAAGGTAGTGGGTTCGATCCCCGGGACCACCCATACACAAAAATGTATGCACGCATGACTGTAAGTCGCTTTGGATAAAAGCGTCTGCTAAATGGCATATTATTATTATTATAAGCTCTACCATCTGGCTTGGACAAAGGGACATGATGCTGGCAGCTCCTTTAAAATCTAGAAATGTCCTTGACAGAATTCTGATGTCCCTGCTTAGATCAGCAGTTTCACCTGAAACAAAACTCAAAGTGATCAAATTGTTTTAAATAAACATTAGGCCTCCCTCGTAGCTCAGTCGGTAGAGCGTGGCGCTTGCTACGCCAGGGTTGTGGGTTCGATCCCCACAGGGTGCCAGTATGAAGAAAGAAAAAAAAGTATGAAATGTATGCATTCACTACTGTAAGTCGCTCTGGATAAGAGTGTCTGCTAAATTAGTAAAATGTAAGTAATGTTTTGTGTTATTGCAACCACCACGAAATACAAGAATGGTGAGCTCCTGAATCCATCAAACTTCTATTTCAATAATTAAAATCCTTTACAACACCCTCTGTGATCGTGGTGCAAAGGCTTGTCTGGCCTTAGGGCTTTGCTGGGTGAATCCCTGCCTCACATAGCTTCATACGATCTCTGGCTTTTTACCATTGGCATGGCGCAGGTAAGCAACGAGGCAATTTGCAGAATAATATAATAATAATAATATGCCATTTAGCAGACGCTTTTATCCAAAGCGACTTAGTCATGTGTGCATACATTTTATACGTATAGGTGGTCCCGGGGATCGAACCCACTACTCTGGCGTTACAAGCGCCGTGCTCTACCAGCTGAGCTACAGAGGACCACAGAGAGCTTCTTAGGTCTCTCACACCTTTTCAACTCCCCTGCACTAACCTTGTACCTTAACAATGAACCATTCATAATAAACAACGATCCGACATAAAATCATCATCTACCGTTCCATAACTTCCAATGTTATATTACCGTTGCCATTTACAGCCTATAGCATACCTACCTCTGGTGGTTAAGTGGTTTCAAAAGAAATTCCACTTCAAATAATTCATCTGATCCATGAAAAGCGTTCATCTCATTTGGAGGTGGTGAACATAATGTTCACATTAGTATTCAAGCCAGCTGTCACAATAGCAGCTTTAACGTTAGATTATGCTGTAGTTTAGCTAACGTTAATTATTTATTGATACAACTTCCACATCGACAGCTAACGAAATCGTAGGCTTGTTAAACTAACCGGCAGAGGTTTCCCCAGACTGGAGTTAAATACTGATTGGTTGGTAGAGCATGACGTTTACAACGCCAGGGTTGTGGGTTCTATTCCCACGGGGAGCCAGTATGAAAAAAAAAAAAAATTTAAGGAACTAACTGTAAGTCGCTCTGGATAAGAGCTTCTGCTAAATGAATAAATGCAAATGTAATATGTTACAAATAATATAGCTGAAATGTGCTTCCTTTGTGGGTTCAGTCACCGTTTATTTGTGAGGTAAATCCATGTTGCACCACCAGCGGGATTCCCTTCGTGAAGCTAGCCAATCAGAAACGAGGGTTTAGCAGCGCTGTGAACTGACCAATCAGACTGTTCTGAGGGCAGTTTTGGTTTCCACTAACGCGATCCTGAGAAAATTTACATGCAATAAATTGACATTGAACACATACAGCATTAAATATGGTTTCTAACTTTCAAGTAGTTAAAACTAAATGTTTGGCATATGTTGGACACTCAGGGGTTTGATCGCGTAAAGGTATGTGTTATTTTTCTATTTAAAGAATTGAATAAGACGACATCAGTCCTTGACAGCCTTGTCAACAAAAAGGTGTTCTCGCCACAACCTTACATTTTCTCTCGTTACCTAGGGTGAATCTTAATTGTATGTATTTGATTCCTCACGTCCTCTCTCGTCTCCTTCTCAAATCTCACTGGAGCAGAATGAGGGTTCTACCATGCATTTTGAGAAGTGGGCAAGGAGAGAGATTACACAAGGAATCAAGAAAATCTCTGAAGCTGGAGACTCTTATCTCCCTCACTAACTTTAAGCATCAGTTGTCAGAGCACCTTACCGATCACTGCACCTGTACACAGCCCATCTGAAATTAGCCCACCCAACTACCTCATCCCTATATTGTTATTTATTTTGCTCATTTGCACCCCAGTATCTCTATTTGCACATCATCTATCATTCCAGTGTTAATACTAAATTGTAATTATTTTGCACTATGGCCTATTTATTGCCTTACCTCCATAACTTGCTATATTTGCACACACTGTATATATATTTTTTGTTGTATTATTGACTTTATGTTTTGTTTTACCCCATATGTAACTCTGTGTTATTGTTTTTAATCGCACTGCTTTGCTTTATCTTGGCCAGGTCGCAGCTGTAAATGAGAACTTGTTCTCAACTGGCTTACCCGGTTAAATAAAGGTTAAATAAAAAATTAAAGAACATTGAGATGTAACCCTAGTCTTGCAACTGATATGTTACGGTGCCTGAGATGCTGTTTTCATTGGTGATCAGGGGCTAATGAATGACAGGTTGTCTGTTCCCCAGTCGGACGTTGTTACAGCCAGCCCATGGAAAGTCATCGCACAAGGGGACACGCAAAGCACCTTAATGATCGGCTATGAAAAGCCAACTGAGATTTATTCCTGATTATTATTTGACCATGCTTGTCACTTATGAACATTTTTGAACATCTTGGCATGGTTCTGTTATAATCTTCACCCGGCACAGCCAGAAGAGGACTGGCCACCCCTCATAGCCTGGTTCCTCTCTAGGTTTCTTCCTAGGTTTTCGCCTTTCTAGGGAGTTTTTCCTAGCCACCGTGCTTCTACACCTGCATTACTAGCTGTTTGGGGTTTTAGGCTGGGTTTCTGTACAGCACTTCGAGATATTAGCTGATGTAAGAAGGGCTATATAAAATAAAATTGGTTGCTACAGTTGATTCGCTGCTTGATGTAGGGGGGGCGTTGCCCATAGACTCTGATCTGGGGTCAGTTTTGCATTGCATCCTAGGGGAAACTACACCCGGAAGCCACTGTCGGCAAATCAGGAATTGTCAACACTGCTAGGTGAAGGAAGATGACTCTTTTGTGCATGTAATTCTGCTGTAAATATATACTTTGTGTACACACAATAAAATACACCATGAAATACTTTAAGTTTGCACTGTATTGGGATATGTTCAGCAGTGTTGATTTTTTTTTAGATTCATTTCAAAACATATTGACCTGCCTTCAGCCCAACATATTGAATCAAAGAAAAACCTAAATGTACTGACTGTGCCTTATTTCTCCCCAGAAAAGCAAGCTTGCAAAAAAACACCCATTTTATATTTTATAAGCACTGCAACAATTAGTACTCTTAGGATACTGTTGCCTGTCAAATTAAGGAATATAAATCTGGCGCTCACATAAAATTTCAACTCAAACAACCTGTTCCATTGTTAGGTACATTAGCTTTTTTACATTAGTTCAACATCAGATTTCAGTAGCTTGAATGGCTTTCGTGGTAACAAGTGTCAGAATCTAATCAACATCGACACTGTGTCTGTCCGCACCATGAGACTCACAACACTGTGGCACAATTCCCTCCCATCAGTTCATCTATACTCCAGATCTTACCAATGGTCCCTCCCATCAGTTATCATCTATACTCCAGATCTTACCAATGGTCCCTCCCATCAGTTATCATCTATACTCCAGATCTTACCAATGGTCTACCTGGCATATTTCACAGGAAAGCAAGTGACAGCCCAAATCAAAAAACGCCCAGCTTCAAAGGAAGGAGGCTTAAAAGGAACACAAAGATGTAAATACCTGATGTTGAAATACTGTTCACCTTTATCTTTACAGGAGACGTTTCAACCCCACCTAGGCTGACCGGTCATCATAGATTGTACCTAGTTGTTCTAGAAATCCCCCCCATGGGCATCTTTTCTTCTTTAACCCATCTTTGAAATGACAGAAGAAGCGTTTACAATCTTATGACATGGGTTTGACATTAATGTGTCCGGCAGAGACGGAGGACCCTTGTGAACGTCATGAAAACCTGTGTGGCTTCGTTCCTGCTTGGTAGCAACATAAAATGGTGCCTTCAAATGACTGGATTCGTCTGTGTCGTTGACAGTGCAGCTCCAGGGGAATAACCTACCACTCAAATCAATGTTCGTGCAGGTTAAAAAATAAACAGAAAGATGGATGGGGAAATGGGTGAGGATAAAGGGACAACCAATCCCAAACTGGTGGAGCAGAGCTAGGAGGAAGAAGCTTGGTAAGGAAAAACTAATATGGGATTTTTAAAAATTAGCTTCAGGATGGAAACGAATGAATTAACAAAAAGGACAGGAGATCCAAGCACAAGTTCAATTCTATTCAATGGAAGGAAGAATGTGTGGTGGATGAGAGAGGTGAACTTGCTTCAGTGGCTTGTGGGGGGGTTAGTCTTCTGTGTTGTGGGTGGAAGCCATGGAGGCAGGCTGGCCCTAGTCAGGCATGTACGGGCGGAGATGGTCCTCGATGTCGCCAACGCCCCAGCACGTTAGCTGGTCCTGGGGCAGGTAGAGGCAAAGGCTGCACAACTTGAAAACTGTGGCCTTGGTTTTAGGAGTCTGACAGGGACAGAAGAAATGACAAGAGAAAACATGGTTGACAACAGGGAAGAGATGACAAGAGAAAACATGGTTGACAACAGGGAAGAGAAGACAAGAGAAAACATGGTTGACAACAGGGAAGAGACGACAAGAGAAAACATGGTTGACAACAGGGAAGAGATGACAAGAGAAAACATGGTTGACAACAGGGAAGAGATGACAAGAGAAAACATGGTTGACAACAGGGAAGAGACGACAAGAGAAAACATGGTTGACAACAGGGAAGAGATGACAAGAGAAAACATGGTTGACAACAGGGAAGAGATGACAAGAGAAAACATGGTTGACAACAGGGAAGAGATGACAAGAGAAAACATGGTTGACAACAGGGAAGAGATGACAAGAGAAAACATGGTTGACAACAGGGAAGAGATGACAAGAGAAAACATGGTTGACAACAGGGAAGAGATGACAAGAGAAAACATGGTTGACAACAGGGAAGAGAAGGTAAGACAATAGAAATATAATCTATTAACAATTAGTCATTTCACTAATATATTACATTTCTATGGGTAAGACATCATCGCCCCATGACAGAAAGAGACTTGTCTGAATGATTCTCTACCACCTACGTGGATTTGAGAAGAAAGACGGGAGTTCAACAGTGAGCCTTGTCAAGTAGCCTTCATTCTCGCAGCTGACTCAATGCCATTGTCCAGATTTTTGACCACTTTTTCTCTGGCCTCCATTGATTTAGTCACCCTAATTCTGGCCATCCTACAACGGTAAAAACTAAGAACTTTTGAACGGGTTATGATAGAGACATGAGGTTTGGACCATTGGTTCTCTTAGAGTATCTACACAATTAACATTTTGCCTATTGGTCAAAAATATGCTTTTTTATTAGACACCCTTTTGATCAGAGCCCTGCGGGCGGTAAGCTCAGATGTGCCGTGTATGGACTGACCTGTAAGTGCTGTCGGTCCATAAAGAGGAAGACCGACTGAGTGGGGTTGTTCAGAACCATTCCAGCCTTGTCCCTCCGGCCGACAGCATGCATCAACTGCTTCTCGTAGTCTCCGTGATGAAACTCAAACTTGGCCTGTGGATAAACAAAACAGAAATACATATTGGATTACACACTTAATAAAAAATGTTTTCCCTTTTGTGACATAAAACAGCTCAAGTGCAATAAGCCCTACTACGTTCACCATGACTGGCCATCAACATAACAGTATAGAATATTATTTGAGTAATATTACATTTGATTTCAGGGGCGTATTCACTAGGAAACAAACAAACCAAAACAGAGAGGGACTACCTGAATTTGTCCAATAAGAAACTCTCTCAAAACCTTTTCCTACGGTGTGAACTAGTGAATACCACCCGGGTGTTTGATGAAGGAAACTCAAAGTTTTACCTGAACAGGCCTGAAGGGTTCGTCCTCGGCCCCCTTCCATCTGGAGAACAGGAGACAGACTATCTCCTCTATGTCGTTGCGCGGCCACAGGATGAAGTCCATCTCCTGGGTGCACCCTATGACATCCTGCAACAACAACAGAGAGGAAAGCTACAGTCAATAAACAGCATTATGTCTGTGTGCGGCCCAAACAGCACCCTATTCCCTACAGTGTGCGCTTTATGGTCCCTGGTCAAAAGTAGTGCGCTATATTGTGACATTTGGAATGCACGTTGTCTTCAATCCAGTGGCGTATACACTGTCAGGTCACTGTCTACCCAGGGACAATGGACAGTGTGGCCCCGCCGGCTGAAACGCTCCAATGTGGCCCCGCCGGCTGAAACGCTCCAATGTGGCCCCGCCGGCTGAAACGCTCCAATGTGGCCCCGCCGGCTGAAACGCTCCAATGTGAGTCATGCTTGTAGAAATTCTGAACATTCTTTGTTGACACATTTCCTTAACAATAAGGAGGAATGCTCAACTGTCTCTGTGTGGTCTGTAGGTTTACCCAGTGGAAGGAATGCCGTTTTTTGACTTACCCTGCGCATTGATTGGTAACGTGGGGCGTGCAACTGCACAACATCTTTTTGCAGAAGTTCTATGGAACTCTGGAGGGAGTACGTGGAATCCTGCACACCTTTCAGGATAGTCTCTTCATAGTTGTTGGTCATCACTGGTACCACTTCGGCTACCTCGAACAGTGCAGACTTCTTCTTCTGCCATAGGAAGGACAGAAAGAGAGAAGGAAATGGAACAGACATTAAGAGCAACAGGCAGACGAGTCGATCACACCAGAGAAGTTACAAGTCACTGGCAAAATAATGGTTGTCCAAAATGGCACCCTAATCCCTATACAGAGCACTACTTTAGGCCAGGCTCATAGGGTGCTTCTCCTCTATAATACTTACCTTGTCTTTGAACACAAAGGCTATGTAAATCTTGAAGTCAAACTGGTCAGCCAAAGATTCCCTTTTCTTCTGAATCTGAGCACGGAGTCGATTCCTAATTTGGTTTCTTCTCGAGATTGGGTCCCCCATTATTAGATTTTGATGTTAGTGTCTTCTCTTTTACAGAATATTTTGACTATCCTTTTGAGATGTGGCTAGCTAGCTACCCCTTACAGAAACGAGATCCAATTATTCTACACTATACCTTTTGAAATCCCTACTAACTGAAAGAGGAAACTAATTCAATATCAAGCTATGTCATTCGTATTTATTTAAAATGGAAATATGCTCAGGAGGGGGGTTCTTAATCAATACTTTCATCAATACTACATTTGTTTGATTAATTACTCAAGAGGTCATGTGATTAAAAGCATGACAGTCGAATACAGGCCAAAGCAAACTTTAATTCAACACATCATTGGCCTAGTGACAACAGTAACACATCGAAATTTAGGTGCACCTTTTCTTTACTGACAACAACCACTAACAGAAAGGATAGCTATTTCCAAAACCCATACCGACACGACTTCTCACAGGGTGGCACAGAAGGCTCCTACGCAAAATTAGCAAGCAGACGATTCTACCGTCTGTCTTCTCAAACTCAAAGCTTCGTCCATGACTGTGTTTAATTTATCTCAAGAGACTGCGTTATGAGTGTGCTGCTGACAGACATGGGGGTACAGACAACCATCACGGAAAGTAAACGTGGATGTTGGGACCAGGTTGAGGTTACAACATTGAAGTTAACCGAGTAGCTTGACATCTCGGGGCTTTACCGCCATTGAACTGGCCCGCGGCCTTGTTTACTTCCATTGTCGATACTCATAGTGACGGGAGTATTTTAGCTGACTAGCTAACGTGAGCCAGCTAAGCAGCATACACTAAAAACACTAACTAGTTAGTGGACAAACTAGCTACCTACATCATATATGTTTGTTACTTGGCGTAATTGAGGTCTATGTCGTGCGGGTTAGCTAGCCAGCTGACAGTCATCTTTCGTTTTTTACATTTCCGCCGAGTTCTGTCTGGTTTACTATTTTAATGTCGAATGACGTACGATTGACTGGCTAACTGTTGTCTCCTGTCATTTTTTAAATGTCCTTAAATATCATCATGATGTTTTAGGATTCGTCGGGAGAACCAACTTTGATTTCTACAGCCAACAACAAACGCAGGTCAAAATCTTTCCACCCCGCTGAATGAGGTATTAACTAGCTATCTGCGCTCGTCTTTCGTGCGTTTCTTCAGTCGTCACAACCACCCTGCACGCCATGTCAAGATAAATTGACAAACCAACTTAAATCCTCCGTTCTTGCAGAGGACACACGACGGGGGTTGTCTCCTGGTGGACCCATATTGAACGATGTTTTGTTTGTAAAAACGGCTTTTGTTCAGTTTCTTGAAGTCTTCGGCCCGGTGTGTTAGCTAGTAACTCGTCGTTGAACAACCTTACCCCAAAATGGCTGAACGGAGTCAGACAGCCACACAAAGATGTATATTTACCAGAGAGGAAGCGAGACCCAACTCGGCGGAAAATATGTCTCCCTCCCTCCAGCAGGTGGCGTGTTTTCGCACACCAAGCAAATTAGTTTTTGTATGGAGGTCAATGAGAGAATGTCGAATTTGGTCGACAAAATAAAATGGCTTATTTGCTCCGCGAGGTTTATTTGATCAAATAGACGTTTTGTAATGCTTAAGTTGGTACGAGCATAGAAATAAAAATGAATAGAATGGGCTTAGAAGCTGTAACCTTGACTGCTAAACTAATGGGTACACTCGCAATGGCCATTAGTACGATCTGGAGTGTAGATGAAAGTGATGGGAGGGAGCATTGGTAAGATCTGGAGTATAGACACGTTTTTGAGCCGTTTCCGCTCTACTTCCTGAACTCCTCCCGTCGATGCAATCCAGTTCCGTTCTGCCGGGCTGGGTTTGTTTTGCTAGCTAGCTCCGTTATGCCGACAAAAGCACTGATATCGCAGTGACAAAGAGGATATAAAAATTACAATTACAACATGAAGAAAAGTGGTTCGGGAACGACGTGTGCGGTAGTTGGTTGCAAAAACTCGAGAAAGCACCTGAACGAGTGGTTAGATAGAGAGTGCTACGACCACAAACCAGCTACGAAGAGGCAATGTCCATGCGCTCCATTGTTTACATTTTTTCGCAAGCCTGATACCGACTCGGAATCAAGGACCTGGCTGAAGGCATTGAATCTAAAGAAACCACCCCTCAACGTTTTTGTTTGTTCCTATCACTTTGTTGACCAAAAACCTACCAAGGATAATCCTTTCCCAGAGTTGTGGTTGGGATACAATCACCCTCCCCAGCCAAATAGGCGTCAACTCACCCAGCGGACCACTGCCTCCTCCCAGATAAAGAAACGCAGACTTGAATCTGAGGGTAAGTTCAGCAACTTTAGCTATGAAGCTGACAATACTGTTAATTATGAAGAAGTTGTCATACATTAACATTGCTACCGGTATTTTGCTAAGGCAGTTGATTGTTTTGGAGATGGGACAAACAATGCCCACGATAGCTACATCATTAATTGTGTGTGTGTGTGTGTGTGTGTGTGTGTGTGTGTGCCTGCCTGCGTGTGCCTTAGTCTACATCATAAATACAATGCAAGGTGGCAGGCTGTTGTGATGATGATTGTGCGTGTGAGTGCAATGTTGTAGTACACATTTTTCCATTGTGATGTTTGTAGTGAGAGGACTCTATGCCTGCATTAATTTTGCTCCATCCATGTTTTCTCTTCCCCTTTTTAGATGCTCCAGAAACCTGTCAGCCTGTCTGTGAGGCCGAGCCTGCTACACCAAAATTTCGAGATGCCCAGATCAAATGGGAGGATCCGTCACATATTGATCACATTTACTGTTCAACACAGTCTGTTAAAGTAGACAAGGCCACACAGTGCGAGGCAGAAATGGGTCCTACTGTGACCAGCACCACGGTCATTGATGATGCTAGGTCCCGGCTGTATACAGGAGTGCTTATGGTTCAATTCTTCACCCTGGTGACGGTGTTGTTGCCTTTCAGTAAGCCATCAATTACCCTTCCTGTTGTTGACCAAATACTTATGACGTTGATGAAACTAAAACTAAACCTAATATTAGGAGATATTGCTCACCGCTTCAACGTTTCTACATCCATGGCAAGCATTGTGATTAGTCACTGGATTGACGTGATGGGTGAACAGTTCAAAGTCCTGATCCCCTGGCTTCCAAGAGAGACCATTCGTGCCACCATGCCCTTGTCGTTTCAGAGGAACTACCCTCGAACCACCTGCATCATTGACTGTGCCGAAAGTGCCATGCAGAGAGCCACAAACCACGACTCAAGGAGTGACACTTTCAGCCAGTATAAATCACGCAACACTGTGAAATATCTCGTCGCTGTGGCCCCTAATGGGCTAATCATGTTTATATCTGATGCCTATGCTGGCAGAAGCAGCGATAAGTTTATCACCATGGACAGTGGGTTCCTAGACTATCTGAGGGCTGGTGATGAGGTCATGGCGGACCGTGGGTTCACCATTCGAGACTTGCTTGATGAGAGAAGGGTCAGTTTGAACATCCCTGCTTTCACCTACAGGCGCAATCAGTTGACCAATGAGGAGACGACACGCACCAGGCGAGTAGCCAATGTCCGCATACATGTGGAAAGAGCAATCCAGAGACTGAAGGTGTTTAAGATTTTATCCCAGAATGTTCCCATCAGCATGGCACTGAAACTGGACAACATCTTAACCATCTGTGCTGGCCTAGTTAACCTGAAGAGTCCACTGATCAGTGAGGTTTAGAATCTTGCCCTGTGTCCCTGTCTACCAACACCCAGCCATGTTGTTCATTAAATACAGATAAACACAACAAATACTGCGTGCATTGTATTTTTTAATATTATATATGAATATTCTCATAGTGATGTAATTGTGTGGGCTGCTTTTGTATTTTACTTTTTAATACCTGTTAAGATTAAACACGCAATCTTTCTTGTTGAAGCCATTTGTTTAGTTTCCTCAAAACAATTAATTAATCCAGTGTTATTTATGTACAGTATGAGCTTACTATGAATTATGAACTGTGTTAAAATAAATTGTAGCACTCTAAGGATTGAAATTACATCAAACTTTATTTTCACTCAAACAGTAGGCACACTGATATATTGCACAGCATAAAGAGATCATGTAAACAATGGACATCTGTTGGCTCCTGTGGGCATGACCTAAATAAGGCAGTTTATTTTGGTTTTAAAATGCTGAGATATTTACTGCAGAACTGTAACCTTCCCTCAACAAAATCATCAACAATTTTCGGGAGCATGTGGGCAAAGTAGAATGTGCGCAGCCTTATGATATGCCCCTGGACAAAGCCTTGGTCGTAGGGTACTTCGATTTCTAGGTGCTCAGTTTTGTTCCAGATCACCAACTTGGAGTGCTGAAGCCATGTGAAGTGCATCCCAATTTGTACCTGCATGTAGTAGCCTTTTGGACCATTGCAGGCAATATGGTAATCTACCCTATCTCCGTTTGCCACAGTTGTGATTTCGCAGTTCTTTGTTGCCAAAAATTCTGCAAGTGACTTGTTTCCCATCACAGGTGATTTGATCTCCAACAGAATGTCGTTGTTTATCACTCCATCGGGAGATGCTGCAAGCCACGGTTCCTTTTCGCACACCACTAAGCCTTTGGTTTCAATGCTGTTGCCCAGAGTTTCCAAATAGTCCCTTGCAAGTTCCTCCCCCTCCGCTCCTTGACGGGTTGCGGCATAGTAGTAGAACCGTGTTCCCAAGCTAGCGTCGACATCGCTGTGTTTACACCGGCAGACGTTGTGCCAACAACTTCCGGCGGAAATGAAATGCATTTGTGTAGAGTTATGGCGCCACCCGGGATACAGCGCGTAAACTTGTCTATAGATGAGAACTGATGGGAGGGACCATTAGTAGCATCTGGAGTATAGATGAGAACTTTTGCTAGGGACCATTGGTAAGATCTGGAGTGTAGATGAGAACTTTTGCTAGGGACCATTGGTAAGATCTGGAGTGTAGATGAACTGATGGGAGGGACCATTGGTAAGATCTGGAGTATAGATGAGAACTGATGGGAGGGACCATTGGTAAGATCTGGAGTATAGATGAGAACTGTTGGGAGGGAGTTGTGAGACAGTGTTGTGAATCGCATGGTGCGGACCGACACACAATCATTTCCATGGTATTTTGGAATGTTCTATCAACTGATGCCCGGGAGTGTGTTCGTAAATTCAATGTGGAGTGCCGGAGTGCGCTCTGGGCGTTCAGAAGTTCATAAATTCAGAGTGTTGTCAGATTGGCCGAGGAGTAGGGTTGATCCGAGCGTTCTGACCTCACAATGGCAATCAAGCACCCAAGCTAACTGGCTAACGTTGGCTAGCTTGCTAGCTACTTCCAGACACAAATGAGAAAACACCTCACTCTGACCATTTTACTCGCCCCTAGCAGAGCTGGTTATCCAGAGCGTTGGTGACTGTAACTGTGCTGCTGGCAACAATTTTAATGACACTTTTTTGCCGACGTTTACTGACACTGGCCATATTCAACGGGTGTTGAGCGTTCGTAAATTCATCAATTATTCTGCACTCTGGCACACTCGGACTAGAGTGTGCTGAAATCGGAATAGATAGCCAGAGTGAATTTACGAACGCACCTGGATTGACATGGCTACCATCCCCCGCCTCACCCTGTTACTGCTGAGGTAGGCTACCATCCCCCGCCTCACCCTGTGAGGTTATATACAGGGGGTACCGATACAGAGTCAATGTGCGGGGGCACAGGTTAGTCTAGGTAATTTAGGTAATATGGACATGTAGGTAGAGGTGAAGTGACTATGCATAGATAACTAACTGTGCCACTAGAGATCCTGGTTCGAATCCAGGCTCTGTCGCCGCCGGCCGCGACCGGGAGACTCATGGGCGGCGCACAATTGGCCCAGCGTCGTCCAGGGTAGGGGAGGGAATGGCCGGCAGGGATGTAGCTCAGTTGATAGAGCATGGCGTTTGCAACGCCAGGGTTGTGGGTTCGATTCCCACGGGGGGCCAGTATAAAAAAAATATGTATTCACTAACTGTAAGTCGCTCTGGATAAGAGCGTCTGCTAAATGACTAAAATGTAAATGTAAATAATAAACAGAGAGTAGCAGCAGTGTAAAAGAGGGGGTGGGGGGGGGGGGGGGTGGACAATGCAAATAGTCCAGGTAGCCATGATTAGCTGTTCAGGAGTGTTATGGCTGGGGGGTAGAAGCTGTTCAGAAGCCTTTTGGACCTAGACTTGGCGCTCCGGTACCGCTTGCCGTGCGGTAGCAGAGAGAACAGTCTCTGACGAGGGTGGCTGGAGTCTTTTACAATTTTGAGGGCCTTCCTCTGACACCGCCTGGTATAGAGGTCCTGGATGGCAGGGAGTTCGGCCCCAGTGATGTACTGGGCCGTACGCACTACCCTCTGTAGTGCCTTGCGGTCGGAGGCCGAGCAGTTGCCATACCAGGCGGTGATGCAACCAGTCAGGATGCTCTTGATGGTGCAGCTGTATAACGTTTTGTGGATCTGAGGACCCATGCCAAATCTTTTCAGTCTCCTTAGGGGGAATAGGTGTTGTCGTTCCCCCTTCACGACTGTCTTGGTGTGTTTGGACCATGACAGATTGTTGGTGATGTGGACACCAAGGAACTTGAAGCTCTCAACCTGCTCCACTACAGCCTGGATCCCCATTAGCTGCTTCCAAGACAGCAGCTACTCTTCCTGGGGTTTATTATGGATCCCCATTAGTTCCTGCCAAGACAGCAGCTACTCTTCCTGGGGTCCAGCAAAATTAAGCAGTTATACAATCTTAAAAACATTACAATACATTCACATCAGATTTGACAACACATGAAGTGTGTTCCCTCAGGCCTCTACTCTACTACCACATATCTACAACACAAAATCCATGTGTACGTGTGTGTATAGTGCGTATGTTATAGTGTGTGTCTGTGCCTGTGTGTGTCTCTTCACGGTCCCTGCTGTTCCATAAGGTGTATTTTTATCAGTTTTTTAAATCTAATTTTAATGCTTGCATGAGTTACCTGATGTGGAATAGAGATCCATGTAGTTATGGCTCTATGTAGTACTGTGCGCCTCCCATTGTCTGTTCTCTCACAAATACAAGTAGTGATGAAGTCAATCTCTCCTCCACTTGAGAGAGCACTACAGCCATTGGCTGAGTCACGGGAGCGAGAGGAGAGGGAGCAGCATGATCTTTTACCAGTTGATCTAAGGGGCTGCCAGAGTGGAAATTTGAAATGGTTGGAACTCCCTCACGTGGTTCTTTTTATGGGGAAAAGTCCTAAATGAAACTGACATTAAATGTGGAGAATTATACATTTGCCTCTGTTGGCAATAAAGTAGCCTATTCATTTATATGCCATTGCAGGCTACTGTAGCCTGCCATTTGATACAATAAATATATATTGTAATGACGATATCACTGGAGTCGTTGCAAATCAATTTGTGCCACTTGTGTGGTCTACCTGGAGCTGACAAACAGATGTAATAAATGGGCTATAACTCAGTTTGTTGTTGTAGCCTTGTGTTATTATGCAATTATTAATGGACACGTTTAGTTCATTAAATTGGAAGATATCAATTGTGATTAATGTCACAGCTCTATCCCAAATGTATCATTACCTACATTTAATGTCAGTCTCATTGTGGACTTTTCCCTGAAATTATCAGGGGCTATAGGCTACCTGCATCTAGCTCAGCAAACCATGGCAAAGTTGAATTACAATTATAAACCCAGATTTTAGTCTGTAGTCTATGAATATTCAAATAACAAGTCGATCTCGCAAATAGGCCATTTATAACGGTTTGTAGTCTTAACATCTGGCCATTTATAACAGTTTGTGGTCTTAACATCTGGCCATTTATAACAGTTTGTGGTCTTAACATCTGGAACATAATAATGGCACAATTGCAGTGGCGACCCGTCATTCAGGTCAGGTGTATATATATTTTTTAAACATATTTCTGTAATTGTATTTTTACATATTGTTTTGTTGCCTATTTTGCATGTTGTTTTGGCATTAATAGTGTCACATATCAGTTTGCAAACAATGTAAAAATAATTATAATAATTGAGTTAATAAAGCCACATACAAACATGGTCTCTTTTTTGTTTTCTTGAGTAAGGCAGCTCCAAAATGCAGGTGTTTCAGCCAAGCTCAGTGCTTTCTGTGGTGGTGGGGCAGCCAGTGGAAAATACGGAGCGTAGGGGTTGGTAATGTTCTCTAGTTGCGCCGTGATTGGCTCAGTGTTCTGTCACTCATAGGGACACGTCGTCACCGCTGCCATAGAGTTACATTAGAAGTGCCCATCCAAGAAGGCTCAAGGTCATTGGCCACAGATAAAATTATGTTAAATCACGTTATATCTACCGTAGCTTTGATTGGACTGATCATGTCAACATCATACTTTCAAAATCTTAGCTAGCAAGCTAGACAAGCAGTCATCATCATGGTATACTTTTTTATTGATCACAATTTTCTTTAACCAATTATATTCTTTAATGCAGGGCCGACAGACAGGTTCCTTACTTTCTCCCCCTTCCACTTTCCTTTTCCATTTTTGCGGTCATCTACTTTCAAAATCTTAGCTAGCAGTCATCATGAATCAAGTTGACAATCTACGGGCAAATTCTTTTTAATCCTGAAGAGAAATTATAGATAAAATGTATCGGTGCTCATCGGCCATTGGACATAAACATTACACAACAAGTTGGAAATCGCAAATTCAACAATGAGTGTTTTGGAAGGAATCGGTGGCTAACTGCAAGCATTGCAAAGCAATAACCAGCCTGCTATTCAGTGGAGTGGGTGTGTGGTCCAAGTCTGGGTTTAAGGGCCTCTTTTCTAAGCTTAAAAGGATAAACATTCAACACTATGGGCCAGAAAAGGTTGAATACATTGGCCATGCTGTCAATCCATATGTCGCGTTCAAAACAACTGGAAACTCGGAAATCTCAGACTTCAGTGAGTTCAAGACAACTGGCAAAAAAAAAAGAGCTCCGACTGGGAAAATACATTTTGAACGGTCATCCAACTCGGAATTCCAAATTGGGAACTCTGGCCTCTTTCTAGAGCTTACATTTACATTTGCATTTTAGTCATTTAGCAGACGCTCTTATCCAGAGCGACTTACACTCCGACCTGAAGATCACTGATGTCATGATTCGACCTTGTTTTTTTCCCCAGAGTTCCCAGTTGTCTTGAAAGCACCATAAATCCAGAGAATGACAGACTTTGATGACAAAATTTGTCCACAAGGACCGCCACGCCACCTTCCTGTTCAAGTGAACACAGCACAACAAGGTGAGTCCAAAAATGTATGGTATGCTGCTGCATAAATTATGTAATATGCCAGGGAGATATGTATACTGTAGCTAAGAAAGTAATACTAAGTGTATGTTGTGTAGTAAGCTGTTAGTAGCCCATGTGTCTCACCCTAATAATTGGGTCCCTTTTCCCCTCATAATTTAGTCTACTGTTCTGACTTGGTGGTGCACATGTAGCCTATAGCCTGTTTTAGAGAAATGTAATCATTGAATATTGTAAGAGCTTTCATTGTCTGCTTATATGCCCCCTTTATTTATCCCACGGTTCTGACTTGGTGTACAGGGAGAACACTGTATGAACGGCCCATGTTCTGAATTCTGTCGCTGTACATTTCAAAAGTGCTGAACAAATAGTTATATAGACTACGTCAGTCCTAGCTCGCTCATTAATGTCTTAAATCAAATTACGGATTGCCTCTTATCCGCTCGTCGTCACCCTTATGCTATAGTTTGTACATCTCAACTGTCAGTAGAAACCACATTTGTTTAAGCAAGTCAGCCATATCAGCTATGTTTTTTTTTAAAGGCAGTAAATGAGGCTGAATGATCTGTTTCGCTGCCAGACAAGGCTCCGCTGATAGCCAGGTGTAGCGGTGGTAAGGATTCACTCCATGGTGCTGAAAAGAAAGCTCTGCTGTTGGGACGGCTTTATGGAGGCCCTAACAGTTTGGGAGCACCGTTTGTCACCGTTATAGTTCAATTAATGTATTGTTTAGTGTTGTGCTCCTGACCACCAGCCTCTCGCTGTGCCAACCTCCAGTGCTCCTGACCACCATTCTATCGCTGTGCCAACCTCCAGTGCTCCTGACCACCATTCTATCGCTGTGCCAACCTCCAGTGCTCCTGACCACCAGCCTCGCTGTGCCAACCTCCAGTGCTCCTGACCACCATTCTATCGCTGTGCCAACCTCCAGTGCTCCTGACCACCATTCTATCGCTGTGCCAACCTCCAGTGCTCCTGACCACCATTCTATCGCTGTGCCAACCTCCAGTGCTCCTGACCACCAGCCTCGCTGTGCCAACCTCCAGTGCTCCTGACCACCAGCCTCTCTGTGCCAATCTCCACTGCTCCTGACCACCAGCCTCGCTGTGCCAACCTCCAGTGCTCCTGACCACCAGCCTCTCGCTGTGCCAAGCGACTCAGAAGGGGTGAGTAAATAAGTGTCACGATCGTTGACTGAAGACACGGACCAAGGCGCAGCGTGATAAGCGTACATACTTTTATTTAACGTACTTAACGACAAAAACAACAAACAAACGATACGTGAAGTCCTGAGGTTATAACACAACAAACCTTTACGGATCAAGATCCCACAAAGACTAGTGCAAAACAGGCTGCCTAAGTATGGTCCCCAATCAGAGACAACGAGCTACAGCTGCCTCTGATTGGGAACCACCCTGGCCAACATAGATCAAACGATCTAGAACAAAAACATAGAAAAACTAAACATAGCAAATCCACACCCTGGCTCAACATTTAAGAGTCCCCAGAGCCAGGACGTGACAGTACCCCCCCCCCAAAGGCGCGGACTGCGACCGCGCCACACAAACACAAGAGGGTAGGGGCCGGGTGGGCATTCCGCCTCGGGTGGCCCCGTTGCGCCCCTGATCTGGTCCCGCTGGCCGGAGCTGGACTGGACACCGGTGGAGCGGATTGCTCTGGCTCCGGAGTGGATCCGCTGACTGGAGTTGGACCGGACCCCGGTGGAGCGGATTGCTCTGGCTCCGGAGTGGAGCAGCTGACCGGTGCCGGACCAGGCACCGGTGGAACAGGCACGGGCCGTGCCGGACTGGACACACGCACCACTGGCTTGGTGCGGGGAGCAGGAACGGGCCGGACCGGGCTGACGACGCGCACCACTGGCTTGGTGCGGGGAGCAGGAACAGGCCGGACCGGGCTGGCGACGCGCACCACTGGCTTGGTGCGAGGGACAGGAACAGGCAGGACCAGGCTGGCGACGCACACCACTGGCTTGGTGCGAGGGACAGGAACAGGCCGGACCGGGCTGGCGACGCGCACCACTGGCTTGGTGCGAGGGACAGGAACAGGCAGGACCAGGCTGGCGACGCACACCACTGGCTTGGTGCGAGGGACAGGAACAGGCCGGACCGGGCTGGCGACGCGCACCACTGGCTTTGTGCGAGGGACAGGAACAGGCCGGACCGGGCTGGCGACGCGCACCACTGTCTTGGTGCGGGGAGCAGGGACAGGCCGGGCTGGACTGGGAACACGCACCATTGGCTTGGTGCGGGGAGACGGAACGGGCCGGGCCGGACTGTGGAGGCGGACTGGAGGTCTGGAGCGGAGAGCTGACACAACCCGTCCTGGCTGAATGCCTATTTCCACACAATATGTGTGAGGCATCAGCACAGGACGTACAGGGCTGTGCACTCGTACTGGCGCTACAGCACGTGGCACTGGCGCAGGATATACGGGACCGAGGAGGGGTACTGGAGGCCACGAGCATTGAACCGGCACACCCCGTCCTGGCTGCATGCCCACCTTAGCACGACACGTGCGTGGTGCTAGCACAGGACGTACAGGACTGTGCCGGAACACTCGCGGCACAGTACGTGGCTCCGCCAACCACCCTTTTAGCCCCCCCAAAAAAATTTATTGGGGCTGTCTCTCGGGCTTCCTCCCCGGCCGGTACCCTCTGCGTTGCCGCTGCTCCTCTCTATAGCGCGCCTCCACAGTCTCCTCTCCTGCCTGGGCATTCACCTTTGCCCATGGCCCTTTCCCCGCGAATATCTCCTCCCAAGACCACCATTTGCCCACCTGCGACATCGCCATCTTCTCCTCCTGGGCACGCTGCTTGGTCCTCTTATGGTGGGATCTTCTGTCACGATTGTTGACTGAAGACACGGACCAAGGCGCAGCGTGATAAGCGTACATACTTTTATTTAACGTACTTAACGACAAAAACAACAAACAAACGATATGTGAAGTCCTGAGGTTATAACACAACAAACCTTTACGGATCAAGATCCCACAAAGACTAGTGCAAAACAGGCTGCCTAAGTAAGGTCCCCAATCAGAGACGACGAGCTACAGCTGCCTCTGATTGGGAACCACCCTGGCCAACATAGATCAAACGATCTAGAACAAAAACATAGAAAAACTAAACATAGCAAATCCACACCCTGGCTCAACATTTAAGAGACCACAGAGCCAGGGCGTGACAATAAGGCCAGATCTTCAAAGAATTTGCTATTTTCTGTGTTTTATAGAATATAAATGTATCGCTGCAGCACATATATATATAGATAAATATGAATCAGTATGTCAATAGGTTTTAATTACTAAAAGTCCCAGCATGCAACATTTAACTCCAATCAAATCCTAGCTCCAATAGTGCAGTAATACCTAACAATACAAAACAATACACTAAAATCCCCAAAATAAAAAAAGGAATGAAGAAATTTTGAAATATTATATTTGAACGATACCATTTTGTCTCGAAGAGTTTGTTTAAACTACGCTCTCACCTACATCATGTGTATATCTAACAGACATTCTGCCTGATTCGCCTGACCTGGTGGAAGACATGCTAAAAGGGTTTCAATTCCTCGACCAAGGATGAGGACTACAGTGAGGCCCTGGTAGCAATGGCCAGACAATACAGAGCAATGAAAGCAAATCCATCAAGGCTGGTGTCTGCAATGCATTGCTTCGGTAAAGCCCATGTGAGCCCAGCAGCCAAGAGAGCAACTGCGTTACGATGAGCAGCTTGACGTCCCGGCCTCATGAACCCCTGTCGGCCTACTGCAGTTGGCCGTAGAGCGAGCAAGGTTGAATCCAAGAGGCGTCTGACTGCTGGACGTCCCAAAACCAGGAACAGCGGTCCTGAGCGCCCTTACTGCTTAGTCAGAAAGAGGAAAAGGCCTGCCAGGTTTGTCCCAGTCTGTGGCAATGAATTGTTCACAGCAGAAGTGAGGAGTTAGTTTTTATGTGGTTGCTTCAAGTTGTCTATTTATGACCAATAACGTGGACGTATGTAGGCTGGAATACGCCCCTAGCTGAAAAGGGGCGTGTCTTTGGCTAACCTCGTTTGGGGGAAACCAGTAACTCAATTCGCCCTTGCACTCCTTCTAAACAATGCCTTTTTTAGAAAACTTTGGCAAAGGGTCAAGTCTACAAAACACAGTCCACTCTGTTTGTTACAGATTCTGGAGATCAAACGTTTCATCCATGAGAAGATTAGCAGAATGTCAGACAAAATCCATCTCGCTCCGTCTTCTCCCGCTGTTGGCCGCTGGGCTTCCTCTCATCACCATATTTGGTAGTGAGTGGAAACGCCAACCGGATGCTTCACATTCATACATCCAGTGAAATATCTGGCTCATAGTTCTACCTGTGGTACAGTATGAAGATGAGCAGAAACGAAGGTAACGTATGTAACCGTGGTTGTGTGAGCTATTGGATCACTCCAATATGGTATCCTTCCGCGCGGTAGAATACATTCAGAGTAAGAATTTCAAATAAGTGCTGCATCTGACCCCCTTAAATAGTAAATATTTAAATAAGTAACCTTCGTTATGTAGCACTATATTGGCTCACTCCAAAATGGTATCACAATACCAGATTAAAAATCGGTGAACTAGGTAAGGGCCAGACAGAGAGCAAAGTCCCGTAGGACTGAGCTCAGGGCAGTCATAGTTGCTATGTCCCTCTGTCCCCACTCAGGGAAGCGGAGGCAACACCCAGCAGGGGGGCAAGAATGACTCGATAGTACCTAGAAAAAGGTGCTAGACGATGTCCAACTGGCCGAGACGCAAATATCGGGGAACTCCTTGGAACAGGGCCAACGATGTAGCTTCTCCTCTGGTAGAATGTTCTCCTCTGGTAGAATGTTCTCCTCTGGTAGAATGTTCTCCTCTGGTAGAATGTTCTCCTCTGGTAGAATGTTCTCCTCTGGTAGAATGTTCTCCTCTGGTAGAATGTGCCACTACAGCAGACGTCTGGCCAGATGATATACTGTAGTAATAGTGTCCACAATCCAATGTGAGAGTCTCTGAATGGATAGGCTCTGGCTCAGAACTCTCTCACCATAGCAAACGAATAGCTGATCAGACTTGTCGTGTTGCCTGTGTCTGTGTAATGTAAGCGTCCAAGACCCTGACCCAGGCACAGCACACTTGGGGAAAAACACCCAGCTCACCCAGCAGCCGCGGGAGGAGCATATGGGGACAAATGTAAGGGCCGGTTCACATGTCTGTCAAACAGGACCTTCTGCAAGAATGAGGTTAAGACGGAGGGTGACACTCCTCTTGTCTGGACCCATTCTGAAAAACATTCAGTGCTCACTGAAAAGGCATGAAGTTTACTCACCCTCTTAGTGGAGGTAATAGCCAAGAGGAATGCCACCTTCGTGGATAGCTGCTTCAAAAGTCATCTACTCTAGCGGCTCGGCAAGCGCTGACAGCACCACGTCAACGTTACAGTTTGGCACCGAGCAGGCCGTCGCTGGACAGACGTCGAACTCCCTTCATACATTTGGAGAGCAATGGGTAGCCAGCCATGGGTCTCTCTTGGCCGTCGTCATGACGAGATAGCGGCTAAATACACTCTCAATGTGGATGCCGTTTGGCCCGCATCAAGCAGTGACTGTGAAAACCGTAAAACCGCTTGCACATTTGGCTCTCAAACCAGGTACAGAATATGCCCCGCCACATTTGATATGACGCATTGGTGGAAGAAACCATGGCGCTCCGCAACGTGTTCACCACATTGTCCTGATGGCTTAGACTGGTCCACGAATGCCTCTCAAAAGGTCAAGCCCGAAGCTGTAGGCAGTGCGGGTCTGGATGCCACAGTGTCCCCCCAGCCTGAAGAGAAGGATGGGCCTCAGGGGCAGCTGCCATGGGGTCCCCGAGAGGAGAGGCAACAGAAGGCTGATCCATGATGGTCTCGGCCAGCATGGAGCTATCAAGAGCAGCTGGTGGCCAGTCCCCCCCCCCCCCCCCCCCGGCGGGCCGTCTCTTGAGAGCATGTCCGCTGCATTGTTCAGGACCCCGGGATATGTGCAGCGATGCCAAGTGGGTCTGGGCCCACGGCAAGAGCTCCCGAGCCATTAGATCAGGAAATGCTGTCCTACCAGGTAGGGCTGGAACTGTTGAAGAGCTAGGCGAACCACCCTGAGCTCCAGCACATTGATGTGTTGACCGCTCCATGGGGGGATCCTGCGGCCAGCTGCCTCTGAACATGGCACCTCAACTCATCAGAGAGGCTTCAGTGCACACCAGCTCTCTGCGGTGGACTCTGATCAGGCTCACCCCCTTTACCAGGAAGAAGCGGGGTAGCCACGGTGTCTGTGTTGTTTTGGGTGCCGGCTGTGGGAGTTGAACCATCGCTGGAGTGGCCTGATGGATAATTCCCAGCAGAACCAACAGTGAAGCCATCGACAGTAGGCCGAGCAACTGTTGGCACTCTAACACCGACATGGCTCGTCCGAGCCGGAAACTGTTGAGGTAGGATTTTGTTACTCTCACCTGAGAGAGACGTGCCCTCATGGGAGTCGAGTCTATGGTCATCCCGAGGTAGATCACCTTCCGTGAGGGGGACAGGTGACTCTTCTCCTCATTTAGCGTGAGGCCCATAACTCTAGTGTGGTTCAAGTGGGTCCTTGTGTCCGTTGTGGCCTGTTCCCTGGATGGGGCAGACTATCCAATTGTCCAGGTAAGGCAGTTACTCCTCCAGTAGAATGTGCCACCACAGCACAAGGCAAAGGCCGGCGGGCCAGCCGAAATGCTGCAGTAACAGTGTCCACCATGCAATGTGAGAGTCCGGTCGGATAGGCCCTGGCCCAAATCTCTCTCACCATAGTTAACGAAAACGGATAAAGCTTTCGTATTGCCTCCATCTGTGAAAAGTGTTCATTGCCCTAGCGGGGCACAACACACTGGGGGAAGCCCCTAGTTCACCCGCAACAGCGAGAGGGGCATGTGTGGACAACTGTAATGGCCGGTTAACGTGTCTGTCAGACAGAACCCTTGGCCAGAATGAGAGATTTGCATGTACTGTAGGTTGACACTCCTTCATCTGAACTCATTCGGAAACATTCAGTCAACCAGGGCGTCAACACTAGAAGACCCTGAGACATTTGAGGCGCCAGAACTAAAGCGGTGACCAGCATCGGAGTTGTAGTTCGTAGCCTTCCATCACTGCCCATGGGGACTCCACTTGCCTCTCTGTTTGGCCTTGGGCCTGTGAGAAGCTGCCAATGCTAGCAGGAAGCACCTCAGGGTGACTGCAGAGTGCCACCGTTCTTAGACGCAGTCCGCTGCCTGTGGGCAGGGACACCTCGCATTTCTCAAGGCAAAAAGCCATACTTGAAATGGTAGTTTCTCTCTGTGGGAAGAAGAGATTAATCTGATGACCGTTATTTATCTAATTAACTAAATATGTTTAATTGTTACCCGATTTAAATTAATCATGTAACAATTAACTCATTAGGATTTGGGGCACCAAGGGAGAATTTGTTTAACAAGTTACCATCTCCCGAATTAACTCTAGAAGAGATATCTCTTACGTCAAATAACAGTCACTTAGTCATTACCTCCTATCAAATCATTCTGAACGTCGCATAGTCCTTGCATCCGCACAAACCCTTACTGATCATACTGTACCACACAAATTGGTTTAATTATTTAATTTAGTGTGGTCCCCGAACCCGAAAGCTATAACCGGGAGGGTTCTGGTGGATAATCACACAGACAACTAAGGTTCAGACAAACCCTCAGCGCCGCAATACTGGTATCGCCCAGGTTGGTACACTGTCAAAACGAGATGGCACGAGCCAAAACGAGATGGCACAAACTGAGTGGGGGGACAGCAGAGCACCCTGATGGAGAGGCTAGCTAGCTAGCTGCTCCAAAGCTATTGAATAGCAGCCAGTATACTTCTGCTCTTATCAACTCTAACATAGAGCTCTTACCAAGGGAATCCTCTCTGGAATGAGCCGAGTAAAAGGAAGAGGAGGAAGTGGTGTGGTGGCAGTTATTTAAGGAGGTCAGCCGCAGCACTACCCTGTACGCGGGACTCATCTGAAATCCTTCCTCAGAATGTATCCTGCCGCGCGGAAGGATACCATATAGTGCTACATAACTGCTTCTCCAATAGAAATCCCTGACCACGTAGGCGATGTCATGGCGACGTTAGCTAGCTAAGCTCGTGCAGAAACACGTCATCAGGCCGGGGTAGGGGTAGCCAGGTGGAAAGCATGGCCAGCCGTAGCAAAATGCTTCTTGAAATTCTCGATTATTGTAGATTTATCAGTGGTGACAGTGTTTCCTAGCCTCAGTGCAGTGGGTAGCTGGGAGGAGGTGCTCTTATTTTCCATGGACTTTACAGTGTCCCAAAACTTTTTGGAGTTAGTGCTACAGGATGCACATTTATGTTTGAAAAAGCTAGCCTTTGCGTTCCTAACTGATTGTGTATATTGGTTCCTGACTTCCCTGAAAAGTTGCATATCACAGGGGCTCTTCGATGCTAATGCAGTACGCCACAGGATGTTTTTGTGCTGGTCAAGGGCAGTCAAGTCTGGGGTGAACCAGGGCCTATATCTGTTCTTAGTTCTGCATTTTTTGAACGGGGCATGCTTATTTAAGATGGAGAGGATAGCACTTTTGAAGAACATCCAGGCATCCTCTACTGACGGAATGAGGTCAATATCCATCCAGGATACCCGGGCCAGGTCAATTAGAAAGGCCTGCTCGCTGAAGTGTTTTAGGGAGCGTTTGACAGTGATGAGGGGTGGTCGTTTGACCGCGGACCCATTACGGACGCAGGCAGTGATCGCTGAAATCCTGGTTGAAGACAGCAGAGGTGTATTTAGAGGGTAAATTAGTCAGGATGATATCTATGAGGGTGCCCATGTTTACGGATTTAGGTTTGTACCTGGTAGGTTCCTTGATAATTTGTGTGAGATTGAGGGCATCTAGTTTAGATTGTAGGACGGCCGACGTGTTAAGCATATCCCAGTTTAGGTCACCAAGCAGTACGAACTCTGAGGATAGATGGGGGGCAATCAATTCACATATGGTGTCCAGGGCACAACTTGGGGCTGAGGGGGGTCTGTAGCAAGCGGCAACAGTGAGAGACTTATTTTTGGAAAGGTGGATTTTTAGAAGTAGAAGTTCAAACTGTTTGGGCACAGACCTGGATAGTATGATAGAGCTCTGCAGGCTCTCTCTACAGTAGATTGCAACTCCGCCCCCTTTTGCAGTTCTATCTAGACGGAAAATGTTGTAGTTCGGAATGGACATTTCTGAATTTTTGGTGGCCTTCCTAAGCCAAGATTCAGACACTGCTAGAACATCAGGGTTGGCAGAGTGTGCTAACGCAGTGAATAACTCAAACTTGGGGAGGAGACTTCTGATGTTAACATGCAAGAAACCAAGGCTTTTACGGTTACAGAAGTCAACAAATGATAGCGCCTGGGGGGTAGGAGTGATACTGGGGGCTACAGGGCCTGGGTTAACCTCTACATCACCAGAGGAAAAGAGGAGGAATAGAATAAGGATATGGCTAAAGGCTTTAAGAACTGGTATTCTAGTGCGTTGGGTACAGAGAAAAGGGGCAGATTTCTGGGCGTTGTAGAATAGATTTAGGGCATTATGTACAGACAAGGATATGGAAGGATATGAGTACAGTGGAGGTAAACCTAAGCGTTGGGTAACAATGAAAGAGATAGCGTCACTGGAGGTACCGATTGAGCCGGTGTCTGCGTGTATGTGGGGTGGGACAAAGGAGCTCTGAGGCTGGTTGATCTGAACTTGGGGCTCTACAGTGAAATTGTATAATAAGAACTAACCCAAACAGCAATAGGCTAGGCATATTGACATGTGAGAGAGGCATAACGCAATCACAGGTGTTATTCGAGAGGGCTAAGACAACAACTGGTAATGGCGATGAAAGTTTGGGCTGAGGCTAAACAGATCAAAAGGATGGGATACCGTGTAAAGGAACAGTCCAGCAGGCATTAACTGTGTAGCTGAGTGATCATAAGGTACAGTGAACAGCACTAAGTCCGGGAGCAGATCGTAGGCTGCTAAAGCACAGGCGAGCAGGAGGCACGGCTGTTGATTGTGCGTGCTAGCGGGCCGGTGCTAGCAGATGGATCTTCGTGGTCGTCGCAACGGGAAGCCTGTTGAAACCACATCAGACGATTACGTCGGCAGACTAGTCGTGATGGATCGGCGGGGCTCCGTGTCGACACTAGGAGGTCCCGTCCGGTTGACAGAGAGGTAGATAGCCGGGAGATGGGCCTGGCTCGAGGCTAGCTCAAGGCTAACTGGTACGTCGGGAAGTGGTGATTAGCCAACAACAGCCATTCGGTTGCAGCTAGCTAGTTGCGATGGTCCGGTGTTAAGGTCCAGTGATTCAGTGATTCCGGCAGAAAATCTGATCTGCTCTGGGTCGATAGCACGCTGTGCAGACTGGCCGATAATTGTCCAGGCTAGAGCTGGCTGGTAGGTAGTGCAGGCCACGGACAGTGGTGAAGACCGCTAACGGTGGCTAATAGCAAGTAGCTAGTTAGCTGGCTAGTTTCAGCCGTAGGTTCTTGATAAAAAATAAAGAAATAATAGAATCCGTTCCACATTGGGTGAGGCAGGTTGCAGGAAAGTGAGATAGAGAAATATATACAAATAAAAGACAAAAAACAACAGGCTATTTACACGAGGACACATCACAATACAATACACGACCGCACTGCTACGCCATCTTGGAAACATTATTAATAAACTGGACGTGGTGAGTTTATATTCATTTAATAGTCACCAGTCAACTCATTTACGCTCAAAAGTTACTTCAACTTCAACTAGCTATGCTAGCTATTCTACCAGCCTGTCTTAATGAGAATTACCACACTAATAGCACAACCTGCACATGAAAATGTATATTTCTAAGGGGTATGCAGTAGGTTGATAATGTTATTACCAAAGTATGCTGTATCGGACATTTTAAACAACATTCCCAGCTAAAGAGAAAACAGTCATGGTATTTAATTTAAGAGTATGAGCAAAATATAACAAGGCAAATTTGAGCCTTAATTTGACTGGGCGCCAAAATGCAGATTTGTAGTTCTTACCCAGTAGAGGGGTGTGGCCACTGTGAAACGTCATTCCGTGAGAGACTACGCCAACGTGAACAGATGACGTTACAAACACCCGGTCGTCCATCTTGGAAACTGTCGACAGTTATTTTACACAAATGGGCGCCAGGGGACTAAAAATCAAAAAAAATCCCAGCGCATTGAGCAGAATAAAATAAAGACTTCTCGACTTGAATAACGTTGAAAATCTCAAAATGTCCAAACTGGAGTTGTTCAACGCGTATCTTACCGAACGACTGACCGCGGCGGCGATGGAGATAACGTCGGCGGTAGAGAGAACAATAACTGACTACCAGGAGGAAATCTCCCGTTCCAAGGAGGAGAACGAACGGCTGCGACTGCTGCTGGACTTCAAACCACATTTACAGTTACTTACTAAAGGTATGTGTGGACACCGGTTGCCCTAGCTAGCTATATCAATCTGTAAGGCAGGGTTCTTCAATTCCGGTCCTGGGGGGCCGAAACACCTCTGGTTTTCATCCTCTCCTTCTAATCAGGGGCTAATTCAGACCTGGGACACCAGGTGAGTGCAATTAACTACCAGGAAGAAATACAAAAACAGAAGTGTTTCGGCCCTCCAGGACCGGAATTGAAGAACCCTGCTGTAAGGGATGAGATAATTATGCCCTCTCTTAGTATTATCAACAACCGATTTAGAATTGGATTCACATCAACTCACCAGTCTCAACTTGGCTAGGTAGCTAGCTAATTTACAATCTAACTGGATAGCTGCTAGCTACTACCTAGCACAAATTGATGAATTTATCCCACCGTAAACTAGCTAGTTTGCTAAACATGTAGTTAGCTATGTAACAGTAACTGCATGTGTTTCTGAGAACTATGGGTACAATTTTAGATTCCAAACGTCTAACTATTTATTTAATGATAACATTACTTATTTGTATTTTATTTTCTTCTAATCAAGACCCCCATCAGCTCACCCTCCCAGTCTCTGTAGAGGAGGTTCCCCCTGAACAGCAGCACTGTGAGCAAGAGGAGGACCCAGAGTCCACACAGATTAAAGAGGAACAGGAGGAATTTTGCAGGACCAGTCAGGAGGAAGAGCAGCTTCAAGGGCAGGAGTCTGATACCAAAGACTTCATAACTGTCTGTGTGGTAAGTGACTGTGAGGGTATGAACACAGCTCGGCCCTCACATCACGCTGTGGAGAGTAGAGACGGGGGTTCACCGTTCAATAACATGACTGGAGAGATCCAGACAGAGCCTGATGATGAATATTATATAGACTACATAGTATCAGAACCATCCAGTCCTGCAGCTCAGAGTGAAAACAGTGTTAACAGTGGAAGGGACAATGATGGAGAGAGCAGGGAGCCACCGTCGGGGTCAAAGCCACGGAAATCACAAAGAAAACAGAAGAAGAAGAAAGGAACAAGCTTTCTTGAAGATGCTGCTCCTTATTGCTGCAAGCTGTGTGGGAGGACTTTTGTTCGTATGGGTTTTTTGGTTAACCACGTGCAAAGAACACACACAAAGCATGCTGAACAATACCGCTGTGGTGTGTGTGAAGTAGTCTTGGACTCCAAAGCAAATCTGACAGTCCATGTGCAAACCCACACTAAAGAGAAAACTACTCCTCACCCTCAAACCCACACTGAACCAAAACCTAGGCCCACTCCTCACCCTCAAACCCACACTGAACCAAAACCTAGGCCCACTCCTCACCCTCAAACCCACACTGAACCAAAACCTAGGCCCACTCCTCACCCTCAAACCCACACTGAACCAAAACCTAGGCCCACTCCTCACCCTCAAACCCTCACTGAACCAAAACCTAGGCCCACTCCTCACCCTCAAACCCTCACTGAACCAAAACCTAGGCCCACTGCTCACAGGCAAACCTTCACTAAAGGGAAGCCTACTCCTCAACTTCAACCTGCAGCCAAACCTACTTGTCATGTTTGTGGCAAATGTTTCCCTTACAATCATAATCTGAAACTACACATGCGCACTCACACGGGCGAGAAACCGTTCAAATGCAAAGAATGTGGTAAATGCTTCCAATCTAAGGGATACATGAACGTGCACATGAGGCTTCACACTGGAGAGAAACTGTTCCAGTGCACAGAATGTGGCAAAGGCTTCCCTACCAAGCAATACCTGACCAAACATATGCTGTTCCACATAGGGGAGAAATCCTACCAGTGTAAGGACTGTGGGAAAGGCTTCCACCAGAGGGAAGACCTTGAAAAGCATCAGCCGACTCACATAGAGGAGAAGCCATATGGTTGCCTAGAGTGTGGGAAATGCTTTAAAGACATTTACCATCTGGCCAGACATAAGCTGGTTCACACAGGGGAGAGACCTTTCACATGCGCTGTGTGTGGACGGGGCTTCAGCACCCAAGGCAACCTGAAAGTACACCAGCGGATTCACACAGGAGAGAAACCCTATCGCTGTAAACTCTGTGGTAGATGCTTCACTGGTTTTGCTAGTCTTAAATATCACTTGAACACTATTCACCATTATGATGGTGTCCTTTAAATGACGTGTCTGTCAGTAGATGACAAACCAAAAGAACATCATCACACCATAGTGGCTTTATTGTGTCTTTATGGTAGCCGGCGCAGAACAACCATTAGGACATAGAATCCATAAAGGAATGTATGGTATACACTCTAACACCCTGATTACGGTTCCACATTGGATGTGCAACGCATCTGACAACGGTTATACCTACATATATATATATATATATATATATATATATATATATATATATTTGTAAATGTTTTAATGAGTATCAGCTTGAACAGGTTTCCACAACCGTTGTGACCACCACATCCAGGAGCGGTGTGGAAACTCATTGGTCCAAAGATGTTATGATTTGCTGGAATTACAACACTTTGAAAACATGTCGACCTTTGTAATGTTTGCATGTCCACAAACTAGACTAATATGAATGTATTAATCCTCGTTTTTGTTGCTTGTTTATTTGCAACGTCATGTTCCATATTGGCCCTTTGTTCAATGTGCCAAACCTGGTGTCATTTCCTTCAGTCACAAGATGGAAAGCCCTATTACAAACCAACACATTTGTTAGACTAGACATAGTCCTTTTGGCGAAAACATTATTTTCTAGATCAGGGGCACCCCTTCCAGCATTGGGGAATATCTAATGTACGCCACGTCTATTTCTATGGGCACAAGCACTGTTGATGACACAAACCGTTCACATCCCTCTTGTTTCCCGAGAGATCTTTGCAGGCTTAAAGCTTATTTACTGCAATTCTACACATTTTCTCACTGATGATGCACTACCCAATTTCGAAATTGCACCTTGTTCCTTAAAAAAAAAAAATATATATATATATATTTGGGAACCTCTGTTCTAGATCATATTGATATTTTCCTTAACATGGTGCTGATACATGGTGCTGGTCCTCTGTAGCTCAATTGGTAGAGCACGGCGCTTGTAACGCCAGGGTAGTGGGTTCGATCCCCGGGACCACCCATACGTAAAAATGTATGCACACATGACTGTAAGTCGCTTTGGATAAAAGCGTCTGCTAAATGGCTTATTATTATTATACAATCCAAGTGGCGCAGTGGTCTAAGGCACTGCATCACAGTGCTAGCTGTGCCACTAGAGATCCTGGTTCGAATCCAGGCTCTGTCGTAGCCTGTCGCGACCAGGAGACCCATGGGGCGGCGAATAATTGGCCCAGCGTCGTCCAGGGTAGGGGAGGGAATGGCCGGCAGGGATGTAGCTCAGTTGATAGAGCATGGCGTTTGTAACGCCAGGGTTGTGGATTCGATTGTGGGTTCGAGTATGGAAAAAAATAATGTAGGCACTCACTAACTGTAAGTCGCTCTGGATAAGAGCGTCTGCTAAATGACTAAAATGTATAATGTAAATGTAATAGTGAAGGATGTCCCCCTAGTGAATGTTATTGGTATTACATTACAAAAGTCCTCTACTGTGAACTCCCTGTTTTATCCAGCAGATGGTGCCAAAGACACTGAGCTGGGGGGGAGTTCAATCAGTTGAGACCTCTGTGTTTCTAGTCCAGAGGTCTTATAAATGGACTATTGATGAAGCTGGTAAGCATTTCAGACAGTTGACTAGTCAATTCAGATGTTTTATTTACCAAAGGGCACCACAACTCTTAAGTATACATTGCTCATGTTCAGATACAAACCTTTTTATTTTTATTTTTTATTTTTAGAACATATCTGTTCTGCAGGAAAAGGTCCACTGTAAACTTTAGTTAGTATAGTTCTTGTTTAATAATAAGAAATGTTGTATATATCATAGAACCAGTCCTGCCTGACTGTATGCTCCCCAGAGAGGACCAATAAAGTTAACTTGTTCTGTACTATGTTGTAACCTACTGCAATGTACTGGAACACTTTAATTGACATGAACATCACTGAGGCCATGCAAAACACTGGTTACTAAAAGAACACATTAAAACAAAGACAAATGGAGACATGGAAATATCAACATTCAATAGCAGACTCACTGGTGAACATTGAACAGAGTAATCATGGTTTTTGCTTCCCAGTGTAAACTGTGTCCAGCCCTCTTCCCCAAAGTTATGTAACAAGCAAGGAAAACATGGTTGAGGCTTTCTGCTCTCTTTCTTTCTTACCTTAAATCTCTTTGTCCTCTCTCTCTCTCTCTCTCTCTCTCTGTCTCTCTCTCTCTCTCTCTCTCTCTCTCTCACACTAAATGGGGGCCTGTTCGTATAAGAGCGTCTGCTAAATGACTTGAATGTAAATGTAAATCTCTGTCCTGTGGGTGACTGAAGGGACAGTGGGTGCTGTAACTGATTGACGGCTGTAGCTGCTGAGGTTGAACATCCCTTAACAGATTGAGTCAGTGGGAAAACAACCGGAACAACATATGTCTGTCATATTATTCAAATAAGGTAGGTAGGTCATTGGATAATGACAATGAGAACCATTTTGAGACATGAATGAACATACACATACTCCAGCCCCAACCACACACAAACCACCCAATACAGCTAAATCCCCTCACCACAAATAGTCTCGCTCTCTCTTAAATGTTTAAACAGTGTTTAATTTAATTCTCATGTGCCTTGGGAGGTTTTGGTTCAGCACTGGTCTTTTCCCGAGACCTCACTTTAACACATCCTGTCCATACTCTGATATTCTGCCTGGGTGGAGATAGATTATATACAGTACATTGGGAAAGTATTCAGACCCCTTGACTTTTTCCACATTTTGTTACGTTGCAGACGTATTCTAAAATGGATTAAATAAAACATTTTCCTCATCATTCTACACACAATACCCCATAATGACAAAGCGAAAACAGATTTTATATATTTTTGCAAATGTATTAGAAATAAGAAACAAAAATATCTTCTTTCTATAAGAATTCAGACCCTTTGCTGTGAGACTCGAAATTGAACTTGATAGGAGTCCACCTGTGGTAAATTCAATTGATTGGACATGATTTGGAAAGGCACACACCTGTCTATATAAGGTCACACAGTTGACGGTGCATGTCAGAGCAAAAACCAAGCCACGAGGTCGAAGGAATTGTCCGTAGAGCTCCGAGACATGATTGTGTCGAGGCACAGATCTGGGGAAGGGTACCATTATTTGTAATAAATGTGCAAACATTTCTAAAAACCTGTTTTCGCTTTGTCATTATGGGGTATTGTGTTTAGACTGATGAGGAAAATGTTTTATTTGATCCATTTTAGAATAAGGCAAATGTGGAAAAGGGGACGGGGTCTGAATACTTTCTGAATGCACTATATTAGACATCTAAACAGTCTGCCTGGGTGTTTGAGTGATAGACTCTTGATGGAGAGGTATTTGTGGACAAATGTGAGATACGATGATAAGACGATCGTTTAAGCCCAGTGCAGTTAAAGATTTGATTTTCCTTTGTTTTACATTCATTTTCATACTATGAGGTGGGAATAATACTGTGACAATTTGTAGTGTAACAGCTGTTTTGAAAAGACTGCCTGAAATGTCAGCCTGTTTTGGTGGGATGGAGTTTTGGCCTGCCTGGTGACACCACCTGGTGGTAAATTAGTTAATAGATAATAGTTATAAACCTCTGCCAATAACAATTTTTAAATAATTTAAAATAATTTGACATGATTTATATTAATCGGGAACAACATATAGACTTTGAAATGAACAAGGGAGAGGTTAAACGTACGTGTAGCTCAGCTGGTGACGTGTACCTCAGCTGGTAGAGCACGGCGCTTGTAACGCCAAGGTAGTGGGTTCGATCCCCGGGACCACCCATACACAAAAAATAATAATGTATGCACGCATGACTGTAAGTCGCTTTGGATAAAAGCGTCTGCTAAATGGCATATTAATAATTAATTAATAATTAATTAATTACGCGGTAAATTGCAGAGTGCCGCTCCGGCCGCCCAGAGGGGCCGGCAGCATAAAGCAGCACGTTCAATCGTGCGTCAAGAATTCAGCATAGCAAGTTTGGCTGAAGGTCTGGTTATTAAATGGGTAAATAGTTTCATCCATTCTCTGTTTCATCAATTTATTCACAGGTAAATAGTAATATGCCCTGAACCGCTCTGGTGACA